TCGCTCCGCGAATAGTTTAGGATGTGGATGCTCGAACACGGGGAAGACAGTACTAGGTTTAACTAGCCGAAACAATGGATCGAGCTTTCTGACGGCCGTGGAAAATGTGTACATGAACGGTACCTGTACTATTATCTGTCTTATGCATATTCTTTTTCATGATTGTCGTTGTGAGTTCTAACTACAGTCACATAATCGTCGTTGACGTAGGGAATTCGTGATCGTCAATACTACTCTGATACGGTGAATAGACCACAGAAATGAACATATTCTTTCGGGATTACTAGTAAGAAAGCCCCAACTGCTTGCGTTCAACGAGATCATCCTTCCATGTCAGACGTATGACTTTGACATTCTCGTTCTCCCCGACATGTTGAACCTTCTTCAAACTACGACCAGTAAATCTCCTAGTTCCTCCAATGGAAATGTTCTTTAAAGTTTGCTTTCTGTGAGGAATAAATGCCTGAAGTGAAGCACTGAGTGTTGTGTATACCTTCTGTTTTTCGGGAGATTCGTCATCTTCCAAAGGCATTACAATGCGTAAAAAGTTGAGCTTTGGAAGAGGTAATACCCTGCCCTGTGTTGAACCGACGTCGTGCTCAGGGTACGTGTAAAACGGGAGACCATCTTCATAGACAGGTGTGCTTGAGCTCGAAGACGATTGATATAATAACGGAAGTAGTGCGGTGGCACATTGGGGACCGCATATAGTCAACGAGGTGATATTTTTCCAATGCTTCAAGTTGTTATACGATGGGACCGTAGAATCTGGACAGTCTATCAACAATGTATGGGTACGACGAACCGGAACATGATTCGGTAAAATCGAGAGCAGCCGTTCGAGAGCAGTATGTTTCTTCGCCATTTCTGGGGGAATGGATACACGCAATATGCACTGCACCCAGAATCCCCCAGAGATTTCTCCACTCTCTGGCACCAATGTTCTGCGAGTTCGATTGCGTATGACCAATGTGGCACCTGTTCCCAACGCGTTATAGTTTAGAACTATGCTGCGAGGATTATAATTCGGGCGAGAGAAGCCACGGAATTTATGAGACATCTGTGAGAAGACGCAAGTAAACTCTTCCCCCACCACGAGACTAGCTTCATCCGACTGATTCGTAAACTCGAGACGACCAAATAAGATGAGCTCGTTTATCGAAGGCATTGATATGGAGCCTAGTATGAATCCAATGGTGCCAAGCCCGCCATCTCCATTGAAATAGCGAAGGTTCGGTAAGGACACCTTTTGGTCATCTTGCATCCAAGAATCGAAATAATATTTCCGCGGCCAACTCCATTCAGGATTCGCATCGAATTTCAGATGAATCGATTCCAATGATTGTAATTTGCCGATGGTAGAGAAGAACAAGTCTCTGGTAGACAGTGTTTTTAAAGGGTCCGGTATATCGATTATGGTCAATGTGCAAAGAGTGTTGCAAAACAAGCTGGAAGCCCATGAGATCGAAACATTGCTGATATGTAGTGTGTGCAACCGAGGGGTTCTTCCGCCAAATATAGAGGTTATATCTGAAGGAAAGGTATCTCTCCATGCTCTTCCGGAGACAGATTTCGGTACTATCTTCAGACTTTCCAAGCGAGGGGCAGGGATATGGTTTAACAGGTCCATAAAGTCTTTGACAACCATCTTGAATCTCGATCGCCAATTCCTGATAATCAGCTGGTCGAATTGAAGATGTAAACTCTTTAGAAATGGAATCACTTGCGAAATCGAATATCCTAAACGGGTGGTGGGCGATTCATGATTGAGGTCCAGCATGGCAGTAATGGGCATTTCTCAGGATAAAGCATGGCACTCTGGTGGCCAGAAATGGGCCAAATTACGAAAAGTCCAGTACTCCTGGCAGGAATAGGCTACTGAGCGCCACCTCCTACATACACTTGGTATGTCGAGCAGTTTGCGTCGTGTTGAAGTGAACCGATCGAATAAATCAGACGCATATTGAACGAAGATGCAACAGAGAATTTCGTTTGGCAATGATAGAATAGTCGGTGATGCAACCTGATAGCATTCTGGGTTGATAGTTGCAGGTTGCGATTCAGAGGAGTCCACATTCAATCCGACTTGATTCGTCTCTCCTATTAGTAGTTATTTAGTCACTTAGAAAAATGCTATATTGCTTGCGGAGACAACGCACCATGGTCAATGAAAGGTGTGGCCAAATTCGCGACTTCATTGGCAAGAAAGACTCGATCCTGAGAGATGATTATGTCCGGCGATGGGTGAAATTTGTTTCTACTAGTAGAGTAAATACCCACCTGCTCACTCGACATCTGGAGTTCTCAACAGTCTATAGGGATCTATATCTTCAGTTGGTTATGAACAACAAAGCAGCTCGTGGACGAGTACCGTACACGTACACTTTTAAGCTGAGTGACACGTGTCCCCCCTCGGGGACATTTGTGATCACGTGCTCAGACATATCATTGCAGGTGGCACATACATACGGCCTTACTGTACCTCCACCATCCGTTTTCAACTGTGAACACAAAAGTCAGCAGCTGATTAAATTGGAGGTTTATGACAATCTTCTCTCATTTTCATGAACAGAGATGACATTCGAGTACTGATCGTTGAAGGTGTTGGTTGTCGCCTCCATCAATAGCCAATATTAATTCACTCACAATCTCAACCCTAATTACAGCGTGAAGACATATATAACATCTTATACACCCAAAAATCTAGCCGCAAAGCTCCCACTTTCCGTTGCCAATACACCAGATTCGGCTATCCTTCTTTGCGATCTCTAAAGCCTCCTTCAAGGCCCACTCGCTGACGTTGTCCCATCTACCATCTGTCTTCTTCATATACCGTAACAAGATTTCCGGTGTTGGACCATCAACAACTTTCTTGCTACGAGTGTTCGAGTGCGAGGCCATATAATTCTTGATCATCTCTTCAACGACATAAGAAAGATAATTTGGCGTCAGAGGGACATAAGATTCTTCGTTTGAGAGTGGATCGCTTAAATTTCCTAGATCATCTTCATCCGTGGTACTTTGCAGTGACGTTGAGGTTGAGTTCAGAGATACTGACGAAGCTGAACTCGAATTCATCTTCCATAACATCTCGTTGGGAGGTAAAATTCCAAATCCGGTGTCTGGCGGCTCAAATTCTCCCCGCCCACTTTGCAGCATCGAAGATGCGTAGTTGATAAGAGAAGAAACTGGTGCATCGCGATGTTGTGAGAAGAGATGGCCAGAAGGAATAAGCCTGTTGGGGCCATCCCATAGAACAATACTCCCTTCATCATATAGTTGTCTAATGACCAGCCTGAACAGTCTCTTCATCTTGGGTCCTTTGCCTTCTTGGCTATGTCCCGGTGGTGTCGGCCCCTTGCCCGTCTTGGAATGCACTTGTGATTTTGCCTTCGCATGGGGATGAGACGTAGGACTTGTGATCTTTTCCTGTTCCTTCGCCTTAGCTCGCTGTTCCCTTCTCCGTCGCTTAGCCTCACATTCAACAACTCTGCTGGCTAGCAAAGCCAACTCGGGAACTCGGCGTAGATATGAAAGTGTAAATCCAAACATAGCGGGAGATGACCGGTTATTCACATCTGGTAACACTTTGTAAATTTGCTTGGTAGGCCGGGGGGTTGAATTAGTCAAATCAGTATGGCAGGATGGGGAGGTATGAGACCTCGGTTGTCGTGACTGAGGTCGAGGCGTCGAATCACCAAGACAGGAATAAGAGGGTGATGATTTACGTTTTGAAGGTGACTCAGGTAATTGAGATATCGAGAAGACTTCATCATCCTCGTATTCGTCTTCCGAAGAAGAGGGCAGATGTGGCGGAGCGTTGTCCATGTAGTGTTTCAAATATATCCTGAACGTATTAAGAGTGAGGTCTTTACTATGCAGCCGGGATGGATGGCGGAGACGGGGTGGAGACTATGTTGAAAGATAAAAGACATCAATCGGGGGTAAGTATACAGTATTTAGATTGATCGGTCGTACCTGATGCGTTGAATGGTTCGACGACGAAGAGTGTGAGGTTGAAGGTGTGTTGGTAGCGCTACTACTGGCGATACTCGAGCTGGATGGTGTTTGAGGCTCTGGAATTCCATGGTTTGTAGTAGAAACTGGACAGGGTTCTTCCTGGGTTGAATTAGATCGAGGTTGAGGGATTGCGAATGGTTGGGGGTCTGGGGGATAATACATATGTCGATGCAATTCACAGACTTGTAGCCAGTGGTTCGGTTCGTCATTAGATGATAAGCAGCATTCTAATTCAGAGTGAGTCTTGGGTATTTGAGGTGGGATGTAGACTCACGAATAGAATCAATAGCGATGAGTCGCGTGTCATGTCTCTTCAAAATACGTCCAACGATACACACCGAGTCGCCAACTTTAGCAATCGGTTTAGGGGGAGGAGAATGCAGGGAATGAGGACCTGTGGAACCATTCCATGCTTTGGAATTACTGGCCTTGGACGGACTCACTGGAGCTCCCGAGGCTTGGTGCCGATGATTGCAATCAATGACAGCAGTTCCATCATCAACTAAAGAGAGTTGAAGAGTCAAAACAACTATAGAAGAGCCATGATAGAGAACATACTCGAATAAACTGTCCGTTTCTCAAACACCTGAACTCCGACGACGAGCCCGACCAAACGAACTGCTCGACAAGGAATGCGGCCTAGCCAGAAATACTCTGCATCTGCAGACGACATCGGTATGCCATTCTATACATAGAGGGGAAAGTGATACCTTTCGAGTCGCACTCGTTCATGTCAAAGACATCATTAACGAAGCAGGAGGCAATGGCGTCGTTGGACAGAGTCCACTTCCATATTTCAATATGTGTGTGTTGGGTACGTTGATTTTGGGTCATTCAACAGCTGGGTATAAGGAATTCACAGTGTATTCAGGATGGTGGTCTAGGGAAAGTAGTAGGACTTCGGAAAATGGCAGAGAAATGTTGTAACAAAAGCCAGGTACATTCGTTTCAACTATGGTAAGGTCTCGTGAGAGATCACTGGCGTTATAGTGTAGTGGTTATCACTCGGGATTCTGATCGAATTATGTAAGCATAATAGTAGTTTCCCGAAACCCAGGTTCGAACCCTGGTAACGCCTGCATATTCTTTTTTTGAAGTTTGCAGATTTTGTCTGCAAAGAAGGTGAACAGTGGGGCCTCTAAACCTTTACAATCAATTCGTAGTTTTTGACTCTCAATATGTCTCAAGGGTTGTGAATACAAAATCGGTCTACAATGAATTTGTGAAAATATGGTAAAAAAGCATCGAAAATAAGCTGACCTTTTCTAGTGGAAACGGTGGCCAAAGATATCGCAATTTTCACCACCTTTCTGCCACCTTTTCAGGGGAAATTTCGTTTGATCTACTCTATGTTGAATGCAAGTTGAATGTCCAAATGAGGTCACATCACGATCACGTGGTAACAATGCGTCTCGCGTTGTTTCTCACAGTGACGCTTTTAACAAGTTGACTCTGTCATATCAGCTGTTTATCTCTTCCCCCATGATCTTTGCACCGTTTCAGTCTCTACGTTTCTAAAATACTCGCGATAGTTTCAATTACTACCATATGTCTGGTGGCTTCAGCAATCATCTGATCAACTCCTTCCTATCTGCACAACAACCCAGAGGCCCCTTTGGCCAATTCGGTCCAAGCACACCTGTTCCAATCTCCACCAACGGCCCTCTTGCGTATGCTCCAACAATGCATGGCTCTCATACGCAACTTTCTGGACACATGAGCTCGTTTACCGATTCATCCTTCTTAATGGATCTCTCCGACGAGTCTGCAAAGAAAATCGCCACAATGCAGGCGAAACTGAACAAGAAACTTGGACCTGAATACATATCCCAACGTCCTGGCCCTGGTGGCGGCCCAAAGCTGACGTACGCGGAAGGATGGAAGATCATCAACTTGGCGAACGAGGTGTTTGGATTCAACGGCTGGAGCTCAAGCGTTGTGAGCTTGACTACCGATTTCATTGACCAGAACCAGGAAACAAAGCGTTTCACGGTTGGTGTTACTGCTGTTGTGAGAGTTGCACTGAGGGATGGTGTATTTCATGAGGACGTCGGGTACGGCATGTTGGAGAATGCGAAGAGTAAAGGTGCTGCCCTTGACAAGGTTCGTGTGAATGCTATGCCTACTTGCGAAGTTGTGCCAATGGATTTTTGTCTTCAGTGTAAGAAAGAGGCCGTTACGGATGCTGTTAAACGTGCTCTTCGCAATTTCGGCAACCTTCTAGGTAACTGTCTATACGACAAGTCATACACACAGGAAGTTATCAAAATAAAAGTACCACCCGTGAGTGTATTATATGTCCTCAATATTTTGTATATATGCTCATGCACATGTGCGTTTGATAGCCCAAGTTTGACAAGGACGAACTTCATCGTCGTCCAGAGTTTGACCCAAATCGGTCTGTTAACCAATCCATGAAGCCTCCTCCTTTGCCGAACCAAGCAGGACCTTCCGCGGCAACGTCCACGTCAACGGTTTCGTCTGGTTCTACATCTAGATCTTCTGTCCCTACGATCAAAACCGAACCCAACGGGGCTACAGTTTCAGTGATGTCCTCGGTTCCTCAACATATGCGTGCTCCTGTAGGTCCAGCCGCGATGTCGACACCCATGAACAATAAGGGAAAAGGCCCCGATAGAAACGGTCATACAACTCCTGCCCCAGGGAATTCCGGTTTAGCCATGAAAACTGGTTTGAACACTCCGATCCAAACCCCCGCAAATGTCCCAGCCGCACAAGTCCAGAAAAACAGAATATCTTCGCGCCAACCTAACCCTCCTCCGCCTCCACAACCTGTACAACCAGCTGGTCAAGCATCAACATCTTCCGGAAGACATGTTTCGTTTGCTCCTCAACCCCAACAACCTCAGCCTGTAGCAACTGAAGATCCTCCAAAGCCAAACGTAAACAAAAATCTTGTTGATGATTCAACATACGACGATGAATATTTTGGTTTGAATTCTGAAGATGACGCGTTCTACGCCACAGTTGACCTAGGAGAGGGTGATGAAGGGATAGGTGGTCCTATTGACTTCGAGGAAGGGGCTGGAGGAACGTTTGATGAAGACGACGACACCTCGAACACCAATTTCGCTGCTCAACCGCCACCACCCGAACCTCTTCAAGCCGAGAAACAGACAGGCAGACAGAATCAGCACCAGCAACAGCGCACTGCACCTCAGCAACAACAACAACAACAACAACAACAACAACAACAACGACGACGGATAGTCTCCCACCCACCGCCCCAACAGCAACAGCAGCAACGAAGCTCAACTACAAATACCAATACTACCTCTGGAGGGCCCTCGTCAACCCCGACCATGGGAGGATTTCACTTTCCTCCAGGTGTTGTAAGTGTTATCCTTCTGCTCTTGTGGATATGGCTGTGTGTGGCTCACATACATTAGAATCCACAGGCACTCCGATCTAACTCGACTTCCACAAGATCGGTGAGCGGTACTTCGACCACTCTGACTAATGCGGCACCAGCTTCGATTGGGATAAAACGAAATGCTGATACGATGACGTGAGGAGCATCTCTCCAAAGCTTGATCATATGCTGACGATTATATTGTTCTTCACTATCATAGTGCACAACATGCATCCAATCACAATCATCCTCCGGGACAACGAAGACCAATGCAAGGTATGGGATTATCAGGACATCCACAAGGACGTGGTCGGTATACGAATGGCTCAGGAATGAATGGGAACTCGAGAGAGCCTTTGGGGGCGTTGGAACTTGGTGAAGAGAGTGATGTTAAAAGGATGAGAAGATAGGTCGCAGTCACTTCATGCATTGCCTTGAGCTTTTTTGCTTGCTTACGTTGTCCTCTGCCATCTCGTTGCCTTGCTATCGCTTTTTTGCGTGATTCTTTCTTAAGGTTTGTTCTGGATATTATATCGGACTTATGGCACGCATACATACGAATTGTAAATAACACATTTCTTTCTTCTCGGCTCTTGAAGAGCGCACAGCTGTACATTAATTGTTATATTTGGAATGCTATGATGGACAGGAGCTGACGCATTGCTACCTGCTTACTACGTATGCAAGTTGTATCTTCACGAAAATAAAGTGAGGGAACAGTAATTCTGATTTATTAGCACCCGAATCCACACCGAAAATCGCCTGTTCGGTACGTGACCGAGGGCCAAAGTGCTCTGAACGAGTCTGAAGTTCTCTCCGAGCGAAGGGAAGGAAGGTGATGTGTAATTTATTGTCTCTTTATTATTGCCGATTAATTAACCAAATTAACCAAATTTTGAGTAAAGCTGCTACAAGAGACACATGAGACGGCATTTGCGAATCATGGTATATAGCTGAACGATTGGAAGGAGGATGAAGAGTGGTTATAAGATCTTTTGTAATCACTAGTACTGATACAATGAAACGGTACCCATAGGGGTTTATTTTTATATTTTAACCAAACATATTAGCTTCCATTAATAGGCTAAGTGCGTTATCACCCTATACGAAGCTAGAAACTCGGCTGGATTTGAATCATTCAGTCCGGCGTTCAGTATAATCCAAAGGAAGATTACTTTATTTGGACCACATAGAAGCGCTCGCCTATGGTTTCGCTCCTTGCTCCTGACTTTCCAATTACTATTACATACTGGTGTTTTTACCTCCGGACCTCAATCTATTCGTTCCTTCTAGTTCTCTCAGCATAAACTGCCATCAGATTGCGCGACTTTACTTATCCTCAAAAACAGCTTCAAGTGGTAAGTTGAGTTTGAACCATTTGTATTGGTTCGTCGAGATATTTTGAGGAATATGGATTAGCTCTAGTAATCTGTGAACGCAGGACTTATCATTTGAAACTAACCGAATTTTTAGATGTCTCGACCAAACACAACTCGAATTCCAGCTAGCGCACCAATACCTGCACGTCGACCACGAGCTCGGTCCTCAGCTGCTCGAGTACCTGCGGTTGCCAGACGTCCGTCAGTCTCAGCTCTTGGTCTGAGTGGTGGAATCAATCCAGTTACTGGTGCCCCCAAGGCCCAGCGGACGTCGAAGACAGTGCAGAAACTTGTGCTCTTACCCAGTGAACCTCAAACGAGACCATTACCCACCAGCGATGACGAAGATTTGCAGCATGGGTACGAGACTGATAGGGGAATCAGGGATATCAAGAGTGAAGGAGAAAGAATGAGTAAGGAGCAGAGGAAGAAGGCCGGGTATAAGAGGATCACTGCGTACTGTGTCGCGGAAGCCTTCAAAATGAAGTTGTTGGCGACATATCTGAAGAGAGAGCATAACGTCCAGCCCAGGGTGTTCGATGAAGCTATGTATGTGGTGCGTGTCATTCTTTCTCCCCAGTGCCTCCAATCCTGAATCAACAAATTACGTAGATGTATCACCTACCACTCTTGCCAGGCTATGGCCCTAACTCAAACATTCGTTCCTCTGCCCCGCCATCCTCAGAAGATGATGATGTCGTTGTGCCCGTATCAGAGCTTGAAGACCAAGCATATCTCAATTCAGTTTCCTCTTCTCCACTAGTGGACCGACTACCACCAGCGACCTCCGTAACACCAATCACCGACGTTCATCCAGAACACTTTGACGTGGCTCATGAAGAACCTGCAGAGTTCTCACTGTCTGCAAAGGATGAAAACAACATCGCCGAGGTTGTGTTCTTCTCTTATGGAGTCGTAGTTTTCTTTGGACTTGACGAGAATCAAGAACGAGGGATACTTGAGGATATACAAGCCGCTGGAGCCACTCGTAGAGTTTTGGAGGAAGACAAATGGGAAATCGAAGAATGTCATTACGCTGTAAGTGGTGTTATAGAAAACCCTTCTTCCCTATTTGACTTACGAGGTGAACCTCAGTACGACAGATATATTGCTTACCCTCGTATCTATAATGACTTTTTCAGTAAGACCCAAACTTTCCTCGGTCCTAGTTTCTTCATGCTGACATAATATAACAGCGTTCAAGTCGCACTCAACACTTTCGATACTTTCCGTGTCTCATGCACTAGCACAATCCACTCTCTTGGCTCGCTACGAAACCCTTACGAATGCCACTTTGTCTTCTCCCGACACGAAAGCAATACCACA